AGTCGTCATCAGAGATGGAGTGGCGCTGGAAGTCCGAGATGAGCCGACACATGATGCGTTCCAGGTCCACAGGCACCGTGTGCACTGCGTGCTCCTCCCTCGGGCATTTGCAGTGTTGGCAGATCTTTCTTCCGGGCGAGAGGGTAGGTCAATTACTAAGGAGTAGCTTCTCCGGACCCACCCAGCTCCCTCAGCGGGACACACAGATACAAGGCTCTGCACCTGGGCTGGGGCTGACAGTGGGGCTGAACCAAGGTCTGGCTGTGGGTCTCTGGCCAGGCCATGGGGAGTAGGGCCCTGGCTGTGAGGGGCTCAGCTTCTGATTGATGGCAGAGCTGTAAAACACGGGCCCGAGGGAACTGGGGGTGTGGCCTGTGGGCCTGGGCTGCAGGATATGAAGGGGTGGGACTGTGGGGACTCGAGGATATTCCCTAAACTTCCAGTTTAGGGGGCTTGGGTCGGACTCTGGCCAGCGGGCCTGAGAGGGGTGGGACTCCAGGACTGAGTATAGAGTTATAAATCTAGGAGCGTCCTCTCAGGAAAGGCTCGGCGCTTTGTAGGGAAACTGTGATAAGGCTCCGAACTTGCTTGGGTGTTGGGGTGGTGATTCTGTGGGATTGTGGGCTCTCTGCGATCTGTTAAGAGCCTCTGGGTGCTGGGATCCAGTAGGAATAGACACTGGGCCTCGGAGAAGAGTTCTGAGCCTAAGAAGGACGCTGAGGGGAGGAGCGCGTGGGTGTTGTAGGGCCCAGGAAAGAGGATCTCCCTAGGGATGGGACCCCAGCTTGGGGAGGACGTTTGGGGGCCCGGCTCTGTATTAGGTGGTGCTCTCCGGGAAACTGAACTCTAGGTAATGCGTCAGGAGGCGGGGTTCTGCATCTGAGTTTGAGGCTCTTTTTTTCTGGTGGAGGTCTACCTAGGGAGCTCTAGCCTAGGGACGTGGCCTAAGCCTCCAGTCGTTTCTCCCGAGGGCGGGGCTCTGACAAAGGGGAGTCCTTGGGGAGTGTCTCTTACCTCCACCCGTGCAGCAGGAAGCCCGGGCACTGCTCTCTGCAGGAGTTGCAAGGCTGGCCCCGGTCTGGGTCCTCAGCCTCTGGAAGCTGTAGTGGGTGGGGGCAGACACAGGGCCGGGGAAGGCGCCGGAGCAGGGAGGGAGAAGTCAACGCCCGCGACCGCACGCTGGGGCCTGTCCCACCAGGGCAGCGCTGGGCAGGCTGGGACAGCGCCTGGAGTTGGGGGGGGGGGGACACAAGCAAGCCCGAGGCGGGGCATCTGAGGCCACCTCCCCATATTGCCCCCCTTTCAGGGAATTGCCCTGTCTGGGCTGCTCCCTTCTCCGCCAGCCTCGGATACCTCTCACCAACCTTCAATTCCTCTGGGCTGAAACACCTCCTCCAGAATCAGAATACCCCGCCAGAGGGGATTCCCTAATTTAGGTATCCCCTTCCCAGGCCTCATCCCGGTCCCATCTCACCCAAGAAGCCAGCAGCACTCCACAGCCATGGGTAGGAATCTGAGACCCCATCCTTCCTTGAGATCACCACAAGAACCCTGCTCCTCCCTTCAGAAGCTCAAGAACCCCTCCCTGAAACCCTAGCTTCATTCTCTCTTACCTAAAGAATCAGAAATCCTCCCCCAGGATCTTAGGAGGCCTCTGCTCCATTCAGAAACCTCCACACCAAGAAACCTTGGCATTTACCCCTCATATCCTAGGACCATTCACTTCTCTGGACCACCAAAACCCAGACCCCACATTTGCTGGTCAAAGACCTCCTTCAAAGAAAAAGACCCTCCTATCTAAGAAGTCAAAAGCTCCCAGGCTCAGGTGGAAACCTGGAAGCCCTGTTACCCCAAATTCCAGTGCCTTGATCATAAGCACTGGGGCACCCCAGGAGTGTAGGAGGACCCTGCCACTCACACTATATTCTCCCAAGATATGGTGGTCCCTTACCTCAGAAACTCAGGAGGTCCCTGCTCAACTCAAGACTCAGTCTTGGCCCTCAGAATCCCCTCCCATAATTCACAGGAAAGGGGAGCCCATAGGTCCCAAGGGTGCTGATAAAGTGTTCTGGGAACCTGGGCATGGTGGTGGTGAATGCCTGTAATCCCAGCACTCCTGCGGCTGAGGCAGGAGGATCACCTCGAAGTTCAAGACCAGCCTGGGTTACATAGTGAGTTCAAGCCCAGCCTGAACTACATAGAGAACCTGTCTCAAACAAACAAACAAACAAACAAACATTCCCAGAGGTGATTAGGAAGCATGGGCCACCATATAACCTTCAACCTAAGGCTTCAACTGTGAGGCCACCTTCAACCTTACACCTCCAGCAGCTCCAGCGTCCAGGCCAGGGAAAGCTGGGGATGGGGATTCCCCGGCCTGTGACGTTCCTCCTTGCCATCCCCGTACCCTGCCCCCTCGCCCGGACCTCAGTTTACCCCCGATCCCCACCGCTGCCCTGATTCTCGCTCACCACACGCCCGGAGCGGCGCCTCCGGGATCCACGAGCGAACATGGCGCGTCCAGACAGGGTCAAGCCAGGCCGGGTGAGGCGAATGGAATTCTTGCGGCCGCTAGGCCACCCCGCGTCCGGCCAGGGAGCTGTGTTCCGTAAACCTGACACCCGCGTGGGAGGAGCGCGTCCCGTAGGGCCCGCCCCTGGGCCTGTGCTCTCCCTGTAGCACCCCTGCCTGAAGGTGAGCTG